TTAAAGTCATTGAGTGTCTGAATGAATTAAATGTTGGCATAGGTAATCTAGCAATCAAGTGAAACGCTGGGCTAATAGAGCTCCGATTTGCATTTGATATGTAAAATAGAATAAGTTGAATATTCAGTTCATACATATATTATATTCATAAATTATTTTGGTTTTTGTGGCAGGAAAAATAACATCTGAATAATTCAAGGTAATTACTTATTATATATTATAAATTTGACATGATACGATAAATTCTTTTACATATATACAAACATATATATGATTTAAAGCCTTTCAACCATTTCAAATCAAACTCAATTACAAATTTTGACCCAAAATCTCTGCAGAGTCAATTGTGTGTGGGTAGACAGGGCTTAAATTTCATTTTAAATTGGCCAGAAATTGGCCTCGCTGCAGCTCAGTGTATTAGTTAGTCGGCTTGGTGGTTACGGCTGCTCTCTATAATTTGGAATTCGTTAACTCTCGCCTATGGCAATGCTCTTCAAACACATTTGGACAATTTCCGTTTCGATTTGGAACTGCGAAGTGTCTAAGAGCTTTCTCCTGTTTCGTCGGACGGGTTAGTTAATTGCGATTCGAGCCATTTGCATTTGCATTTGCCGTTGTCAGACATATCCAACAGACAACAGACAACAGACAACGGGCACAGCTGGCAGGCTGGCAGGCTGGCAGGCAGGCAGGCAGGCTGGCAAGCTGTTGCCTACGATGCGTTGAATTTACCCAATTGGCAAATTTCCTCATTGATTTGCCAACAGACCACGATGACGAGGGCAGACAACGGCACGGCCCGAGCACCCAAGCGAGAGCAGAGCAGAGTCTAAAGACAGAGGGCTGCATGGGTCCCATCTGCAGCTGGCTTCTCGCATTTTGGTCTGTTATTGTGGGATACAGTGAGAGGCATAGGATTGATACATGTAGCCAAAGTGGCAACGGCTGATGTGGTGGTGCGGTGGGGTGGTGCTGTGGTTGGCAACTTGCAAAACTACGCAAAACATTTTGTAAATTGAATTTGTGTTTTGAGCTTTATGCGCCGCACACAAAATGTAATTGAAATAAGTAAATATCAATTGAATATCCGCCAGCGGGCGGCAGGAAGTTTATGGAAGGCAATGAAATTATTTGTTTGCCCAGTAGATGCGGCATTGATGTTGTTGTTGTTGTTGTTGTTGTTGTAGTTGTAACAACAACTTATAAAGTAAACTCTTTGTGGTAAAGTTTCCGTTGCGGCAGGTCAAAATCAAACGCATTGCAGACATTTGCCTTCGGGCCTCAGCAAATAAATCTGTGCGGGGCAGGCAGCTTATGAAAAGTGCTTGTAAATTACAAGAGATATGCCACTCATAAAACTGATTTATGCCAAGCACAATGAATGGCAACAAACAATGCTCACGTTCGACGCATATCGTGCTAAAATTGCTCTGCTCAAAAGTTAAACAGCGAGCCGACTGCCAAAATAAATGGCACGTTTATCATACGCCCAGTGGGCCCAGTGCGTTCAGCAATTTGGCAGCAGTATTTATATACCGCAAGCACGCACACACATGCATACACATACATATATGTACTGATGAACATATGAACAGTTTGTATATGTCACGCCCCCCTCCGTCTGCCGTCGTCCGCCCGCCACCCCCGTCCTGCCTGGCCTGACGCACTGGCATACTTAGACTTTGGCTATGTTTTGCTTGATGTTTTCGCGTTTGCTTTTCAATTATATAAACATATTTAGATTATATTCAGTTAACACTCACACGCACAGGCACACACACACACACACACAGTCGCATATGTTGTGCGTGTGTGCATTAAAATTATAAATTGTTTGCTCAGCAAAAAGCAGGCAAATAAATAAATTCAAACGGAACGAAACAAAACGAAACGAAGAACAAACGCCAAGCGCATAAATAGCTGACCAAAATCGAATAGAACCGAGCGAGCAGCGCTTGGAGCCAACGCGTCGTATGCGCAATGGGCGGCCGCTGCCTTGGGAGAGCTGCAACAAATGAATGAAAATCAAGTGGCCGCAACATGACATTGAATTGTTTTTGACTCGTTTTGTCACACCTAAATGCCGTAGCCATGCGAAATGTATAAATATGCGTACCTCATCTGTAATTGTATGTGCGTGTGTGTGTGTCTGATGACGCTTGTGAATTATTATTGTGTGGTCTTTTCTGAGGCGCCAGCAGCGTTGACAGCTGTCAATGCGACTGACGCATAGGGCTACGGCCCAGCAGTGGGCTAAGGCAACGGCCCAGGGTCACGCACTATCGTAGTGGAGCACCGATGCCTCCGAAATCTACGTTGGCAATGCCAAGTTGAGCAAACATCGACCACATATATGTGGGTGGGTGTAAGAGTGTGTGTGTGTGTGAGTGTGCTGCTGGCTTTGAGCCGCCGAAAATTCCATTAATGTGTTTGACCAAATATTCAACTCCATCTCTGTACATGGCCTTGTGTGATCGCTTACGCCTTGTTGCACTAATCGGCATGCCTCATTGGGCTCTCCTATTGCGTGTGTGTGTGTGTGTGCCACGAAAATTTGCTAATCTATGCTGCTAACTGCATCAATATCAATTTAGCCAACTACATAAATCCATTAGCAAATTAGCAGAGCAACGGCGATGCGGTCAGCAAACTACGGCTAAGTCAACTGTAAAATTAATGGCTTGTGTCAAATCTGGTATGCCGCTCATTAAACACATTTTGCATTCTCAATTTGAGCCGTGCCGGAGTCACGTACCCATGCGGTTACCAGATGCCTGCGGCCAACTATAAAAATGACAAAAAAGCAGACCACGTGCCTCATTAAGGACATGTGGCACGAGGCACGCTCGCCACGGACACACGTAACACAATTAGCTGACCTGCGGCTGGGCCAACATGCGCATACGGGCACACTCACGCATGTACACATACACCCACCCACGCACATGCACCCACTCATACGACACACAATGAAATTGATGAATCTGAGGAGGTGACAAGCGTTTGAGCTGGAATTCATATGCTCGTAAGCTGCGGATTCATCATAGAGCTTATCAGGCTCTATGCAAAACATTACAAGATTTAACTTGATTAGAGTCTTAGTAGATTCTTCAAATAATAGTGAATACTAAGCGCAAACCAAATAACAAAGTGCCAGCTGTAGCTTAACTAAGCCTTAAGAAAAGTAAAGACTTCTTAAAATATAAATTAAAATGACGTTCAAAAGAAATAAAAATAAAAACCTGAACGTTAATTAACCCCCTGACTTTTATAAAGTAATAGTTAATAATAAAAAAAGTTAAATTAAATTAAAAAAAATATAATAAATGTAAAAAGTAAAATAAATAAAACAAAATAAATAACATTTATTTTTATTTATTTATATAATTTTTTTAAATTTTATTTTTACATTCATTATATTTATCAAATTTATTTTAATTTTTGATAAATAAAAGACAAAATAAAAAATTCATTAAAAAAAAATAAAATAAAAATAAACAAAATAAAAAATAGGAAAAAATTAAATAAACAAAAAGCTGCAGATAATTTTTAATGTGTCATACGTATTTGATAGGACAGAATAAAGTAATAATCAATAATCGAAAGAAATATATATAATTAAAATAAACTAAATAACACCGAAGCTTTATGAATCGTATTGGTCATAATAGTTAATAGTCAAATACTTAGCGCAGCTTCAATCTACAAAAGGTTTACTAACTAATATACTTCAGTTTTTCGTATATGTTAAGACACCCAAAAATAATTATTAATAATGGGAAAAATATATAAACTAAATAAAAAAATTAAATTAAACTAAAACTTCCAAAGAGTTTAGATACCTGAAAAGAATAGTCGATAATAAATGCCAAATACAATAAATAGTGAAGATATTTTCAGAAATACGCGCTGCCTCGTCCATAAAAGCTTCGGCCATTGACTGGAACCCATATATGGCGTTCAGCCAGTGTCATTGCATCACAGCTGTCGCTCATGTTGCGCAAATCTAAATTCATGTGCGTAACGGATTCCATTTAATTTCGTTTAACATTTGACTCTTTGGAAACAGCAAAGGACAAAATGTCAAATCAGCCCCAAAACGAAAATCTCGTAATCGCAAATTTAATTTGGGTCGCATAAAATTTGAGCAATATCGAAAGAAAAAGAAAAAAAAAAAAACCAACACAACAGCAAACAAAGCCCAGACGGCCATAAAACGGCTACAGAGTTGGCCAACAACAGAAATCAATTGAGGCGGCCCATATAGAGTCTAGATAGCGCTGCTATGGCCGCACGCGTCGCTGCCGCGCCAAACCGGAAATGCAATTTGTAATTTGTGCAACAAAATTTGCAGCAATTAATTGCAATGCGCCCCGACTCCTGCTGCCCGTGCGCCCAGACCGCTAGACACGGAAACCTCAATATTTTTTTACATTTTTCTTTGCGACTTTTGCCAGGCAACGCAGAATTTATTGCATTTCATTTGAATAATACTTTTTTTTTTGTCTTTAATTTTTATTATTGCTCTTTTTTCGGCTTTCTTGGCAGCTATCGCAGCGCATTAAGTGATTTGTGCTTAACAATAATTTTTGTTTTTGTTTTTTTGATATTCGTAATTTGCGCTGAAATCAAACAGCTGCAAAATTTGTGATTTTGTGCCAGGCGTCGTCGCCTATATAAAGTGTGTCCGAGTCACATATATATCATATTCTGTGCATATACATATATCATATACATACAGTTCAGCATAAGATATATACATGCATTTACATACATATACTGCCGATATACATACATATATACTATTCTGGTATATGCTATGTTGATTTATGGCATTTCTACGGCTATATAAACAATTTGTTAAGACGCACACACAGTGAAAAATGATTTTTGGCCTATATGTATGGGCATATAAGTAAATCAAGAATTTTGACATGTTTTGGTCGTTTTCAACACTGATTGAGCCAGCCCTATATTTAAGTACTCTTTCTATCACTCACCTCGGTTATTTTCATGGTACGCTTGACAGTCTTGCGGGTCACTTCGGTTGTCTCCTCAACGACATCGCCGTCCTCGTCAATGGCTTCGGTGACCATTTTCTCGGTCTCGCCGGGAATCACCTCCTCGGTGCGTTCGGTGACGACGCTGGTCTTGCTGGCATCCTCATCGGCAGCTGGCACCGGATCGGGGCTTGTCTTGGTCTGCTCCTCGGCGGCAGCAACAACCTCCTCATTGTCCGACATGTTTGCTAATTGATTGTGTTTATCTCAAGGGTTTTATGCACTTCTTTTGAGTATCTTTGGCTCTTGTTTTAGGGTCACTTTCACTCGGTTTGGCGCTTGCTCACTAAATTTGAAAAAACTATTGCGACTATAGCGGCCCACCGACTCGCACACTAGGGCAGCACAGACACTCAATAGAGAATTTCTCAACTTGTTTTGCCTGAAAGAGAATCACGCAGAAATGAATATTTTCAATTTTTTTCTTCTTTTCTTTCTTATTTTCTTGCTTTCTTGTATGTGCTCGTGGCCCGCTCTGGGTTATTATATAAACAATCGAAATTTTTCAGAAAATAATCACTATTGACGTTCACTATCACGATCACGATGACGTTGAGGATCACGTTCACGATCACGATCACGATCAGACTTGAGTTTAGGTTTGCATTCACGACGAACCGAATTGGAACCTGGGAATCTTGAGATCTTGAATGCGTCTTGAGATGATCACTGGCGCTGGCTGTGTTTGACACTGAGAGAGTGAACGCTCAGCCAGCGACAACGAAAGAGGCGACAACAACGAACAATGAAACGGCGTGCAACGAACAACGGAAAAGGAAGAAGACGACAACGACAACGACAACGACAACGACAACGGGAACGACAACAGAGACAGAGGTGGTGACAACAACGTAAAGTGACAGAACGGACGCGAGACAAATTGCAGAAATGAAACAAAATGAATTTCTTGTTGTACAATTAAAAACGCATAATGCGAGCGGAACGGAAAAAAATTCAGTTTGTTTCGTTTCGTGCAGCAATAAATTGAAATAATCAGCGAGCAGCGCCCAGCGTCAACGCACGAGGCAAATTACACGATTCTGAGGCTTCTGTCCCGATCGATGGCACTGCTCGCCGTCTGGCCTGGCACCGGAACCGCTGCCGTTGCCGTTGCCGTCGCAGTTGCCGGAGAGCGACCAAAATACCAAATACAATACATACAACTAGGTTGGACATGAGCTGTCTATGTGTATATTAATATACATATGCATCCATGTGTGTGTGTGTGTGTGTGTGTGTGCGCTTGTGTATTTGGTGCTTTTCCCGGCGAGCGAGATGCCCAACTAGTCGGGATTACCAAAATAGTCGCAGACAGGCGCAAGTGCGAGCAGGCCAGCTATAGTCAGTGTCCGCTCTTTGGCATCTCTGACGTTGGCTGCTGCTGCTGCTGCTGCTGCGACTGCGACTGCGACTGCGACGGGTCGCTCTGAATTCAGATTTGAATGTTGACGTTCAATTCAATATTTTGGGCGAGCAGCTGCTGTTCGGGCGGGCCGTTCGCTAATTGTTTGACTGTTGCAAGTGCTAAAGCCAAATCTGAAATGAAATTCGAAATTTCTGAAAATGCTGAGCGAACGGGCTGCAATTAGTGCCGCTGGCCGGGGCGTGAGCCATGACGCATGTCAAATCTGTAACTGTCACCCTCCCTCCTCCCCTCCTTCGCATTCAACGTGCGTCGTTGGCGCTATTTTGGTACGCACCCCCGCCCCCGGGGGCCCACAGTCCATCAAACAATAAAAGCCACTAGAAAGAGCGCGAAGTCAGCGCGAGAGCGCCGACACATAAATACCCTTGGACTAGGATATTGTTGATGTGTTTATTTAGTAAACAATCAATTCCAATAACTTTATGTTCAACTGAGTTATATTTAGCTGGCAATTACAATTGCCTAAGGGCTTTAAATAGATGAGGTGTTTTTTTTTTTTCAACTTCATTCAACTACAACAACTACATTCAAATTTATTGAAAAACATTTAAATTTAAGCAGGCAAATAGTAATATAAATGGAGTTAACTAAATGAGTAATTTGTGTTTTCATTCGCACAATTTTCATTTATACAATTTAATTTCCTAAAATAAGTCATTCTTTGAACTATAAGAAACACTTTTATTAATTTAATTTATAAAAGTTTACTTTAATTTTTCATTACCAATATTATTATTTTATTTTCATTGTTTATTAATTTTATTTTTATACATATGTATATTATTCTTTTTTTTTTTAATTTTTTTTAATTAGCTTTTTAGAGTAATTTTTATAAAATCATTATTTATTATATTAAAAAAAAATAATTAAAATTTATTTATAATATTTATGAAATTATATTTGTTATATATAAAAAAAGATTTTTATTGTATTTATTTGCGTACTATTACAACATTACTCATACAATATTTTAAATTATGAATTGTGGATATAATAATGTACATAAATATTATGAAAGCTACTTATTATTATTATATGGCTTACATGGCCAGTTTTAAGAACTTCTAAAAATAGAGCAGATAACAATAAAATAATAATAAAGTATTTTTTCCTTTTATTTATTATGATTCCTGTTTCCTAATATAAATTTAATTGAATTAATAATTTAATAAAATATATAAAAATAAACTATGATATTTAATTTTTTATTATTTAATTTAATTTTATTATATAATTATTTAAAATAGAGCAGATAACAGTAAAATAATAATAAAGTATTTTTTCCTTTTATTTATTATGATTCCTGTTTCCTAATATAAATTTAATTGAATTAATAATTTAATAAAATATATAAAAATAAACT